ATCCGATGATTTCGCGCGCCCCGAAATCGAGAGTGCTTGACTGGGAGGAAATATACAGCAAGAAGCCGCATAGATCGAGACTGTGGGTTCGAACCCTGGTGAGCGCATTTTTTAATGTAATTAATTGGCCAGATATGACCAGTTGCTGACGACTCAGACTGCTAGATGTATGGACTGTGGCACGCCGACTTGTCACTATCCCAATACGGGAGGAGGAGGATGTCCGTTGGGAAATCGCATACCAACATTTAATCAACTCGTATATGAAGGGCAGTGGAAATTGGCTTTGGATCGTCTGCTTGATACGAATAACTTCCCGGTGAGCAACTTGAAGTGTCGAAGGATATATGTTGCATTTTCTTAGTTGAGCTCGGGAGTGTTTCACACAAGAATTTGGGTATAAGAATTTTCCTCAGAATTTTCATATTACCAATAACGTATGTGGTTTACCATGTGCAGATTTTCCTTGTATGCTGGAAGATTTTTCCATGAACGAAATTTCCCTTCACAGGATGCTAAAAAACGAAGAGAATTTTAATTTCTCTCATTGGTAGAATATTGGAGTTTCACCATCCGTGTAACGTGAAGTGGCGTAATACTCGGTGAAAAACGCGATATTCGTGGTGATATGCAATAGTCGTGAACATCACTAGGGTTGTGACACTCCAATGTTTTAGGAGTTCACAGGAACCGCATGCCCAGCACCATGCGAAGAAGCGTGTGTGCTCAGTATCAACGAGCCCGCCGTTACTATCAAAAGTGTCGAGTTGGCAATTATCGAACATGCTTTTCAAAAGGGTTGGATACAGCCGATGCCGCCTCTTACGAGGTGGGGAAAAGCGTCACGCGCCATGAAATTAAATGGTTGATTTTAGAACGTACAAGACGGTTGCGATAGTGGGCAGCGGACCTGCGGGGTTGGTTGCGGCGGCTCAGTTGAATAAGGCTGGACACAGCGTAAGTCAGCTGAATTTTTCGATGAAAATTGGTATGAAGTTTGCCGGAAATCTTGGGAGGGGGTTTGTGATTTTCTATAGTAGAGCAGATTTCGAGTAGGAATTTTTGCATATCGAATTTATACGTACTGTGGTACACCTTTTTTTTCAGGCTCAAAATCAGGAGAGTAAAATTCGACTCTAGTAGGGTGGAAGTTGAGAATCGTAAATGAAATATATGAATTCGAAAACGCAAGTTCAAATTCGTCAAACCCAAGAGAAAGTTGGAAAAAGACTTTGATCAGGTGACTGTCTTCGAGAGGGCCGATCGAATCGGCGGTTTGTTGGTGTATGGGATTCCGAATATGAAATTGGATAAGATCGATAAAGTGCAGAGGAGAGTTGAGATACTCCAACAGGAGGGAATAGAGTTCAAGACAGGTTGGTGTTGTGATTTGTGGATGTTCTCGCGGGAAGGGAAAATATTTTTATTTTTGCCAGAATGGAATTTATGGAAAACAAAGAAGAAACACAAAAAGAAAGTTTTCGGAATAAATGACATGAAACAACTTATTGGGGGGGAATTGATCTCACGACCTTTCGGTTGTCAGTCTGTTGATGTACTCGTTGCCCAATTTGCAGATATCGAAATCGGCGTGGAGCCCTATACCCTACCATCTCTACGGGCTGGCTATGATGCTGTGCTTTTGGCCACTGGGGCTACCCAGTCTCGAGACACGCTAACGAGGATACCGGGTCGACAGTTGAAGGGCATTTATCAGGTGTTTCCATTGAATGTTTGGGGAGCATAACTTAGCGGTTTTTCCTCTCGCGTTCTTTACATGATTGATCTCTGATATTTTCTTGATACTAGATATGTAAGTATATGTTGATGTCGTGGTACGTCGTTTCTCATCTGACTAGGCCGAATTGTCGTAGGCGTTGGATTTTGAACTCCCCTACATACTTGTTGCTGGTGAAGGGATCAGCTTAGTCTGTTGAATATAGCCTGATATCAGCAATGCTGTGAAAATATGTGAATTATGGTATATATTAGTAATGGAGTCTCACAATAGTGATATGAAAAACAAAATTTACAACTACTGCATGCCGCGAATATCGCGTTTTTCACCGAGTGTCACGCCACTTCACGTAAAACGGGTCGTGAAACTCCAATATAAAATGAATAGTAAGGTAACAGTATTTGGTATTAATAAATACATCCAATTCTAATATATATTAATAGAGTCGGAGTTTCACCACCCTAGTGATATGAAAAACGCTAGTGAAGAACATATCTCACGACTACTGCATATCACCGCGAATATCGCGTTTTTCACCGAGTTTTACGACGCCACTTTACGTAAAACGGGTCGTGAAACTCCAATATCTAATAGTAATAATATGAATCATACTATCGTAGTATATCGATCCTCATCCGAGCCGCATTGTCGTAGGCGTTGGTATCTATAAACTCCCACACACGAAATCGTTTTTATTTCCAGTGTAATTTACTCGTTGACGACTCTTCGTGATGAGCTTGAAATTTTTTTTCTACGGTCTCAGGCGATGGACTTCCTCTCACTATCGCAGAAAAGTTGGCTGGACTCTGAGCACGATGACGATAAGTAAATTTGATGCTTAATTTCGTGGCGCGCGACATTTTCTTGAGTAGGTTCATCGATTGTGCTGGTCGTAAGGTGGTGGTCATTGGTGGAGGCGACACTGCTGTTGATTGCGTTGCCACGGCGATCCGTCTGGGCGCGGAAAGCGTTCTGCAGTTTTCTAGAAGGCCGGTGAGTCCACGTGGTTGTCTGTGGAGATCTCCTTGTTATTTTGATATAAACTTCGTGATGAGCGCGGGTTCGATCCCCGGCGAGGGCATTTTTCGAGCATTTTTTTATTGTTAACGGCTACGGTGCACGGAAATACGGGAGATGAGTAAATGATGAAGAAATGGTGTTCGGGGTGTTCGTAATTATCCCGGGTTCGATCCCCGGTGCGGGCATTTTTCGCTTGCTGACGGTCATGGTGTACAACGGTTTTGGTCAGTACACGGCATAGGTTGGTGATGAGAGTGTTGGGGGTCGGTAGGCCTTCCTTATCTCCCATTGAGGGAACGCCACAACTAGAGGACTTGTAGGAAGAACTTATCTATCAATATAATCAATAGTAGGCTCACTTGACGCTAGGCTAAGATATGCACTGCGACACGGAGCAATAGCCAAGGAAACAACTGGCATAGAAACGAACACAATCAATGAGTATCCCCATATTTTTCGCGACATATATGAGTTTACTTTCCCGAATGGTATTTGCCTCGAGAACTCAACTGATGTAGTCGTAGAGAAATAGTGTGAAAAAATGGAGGCACAGAAAATGCGCTAAGTCACAGTATATACTCCACTCGCTTCGCAATGATCGGTGATTAGAATATATGAATTTATTGTCATAGTTTGATAATGGGCATTATCAAAATGCTTTTCCAGTTTTGGAGGTTGGTTTTTGGCGGATTTCAAAAAATCGATTTTCCTATCGGTATCGTCAGGCGGCATCAAAGGCGAAGAGCCGGTGGCCCTTCTGGGACGAGGATGTGTATAGAGTTGAATATGCCCACGAGGAGGTGAGGTCTCGGGTTCGAATCCTGGTGGTGGCATAATTATAGTGTGTTATTGAGCAGTTATGCATATTTCAATTTGGGAGTAGTACGACTATAGACTATGAAACGCTTCTAAAACGTTGGTGTCAGTCGATTTACATCGGAGTTTCACCCTAGTGATATGAAGAACACTAGTGAAAAACATATTTCACGACTACTGCATATCACGGCGAATGTCGCGTTTTTCACCACTTCGCGTAAAAGGAGTGAAACTCCGATGTTATTATGTTAACTTTCGAAATTGAAGGTGTTGAAAACATTACTTTATAAAACGGTATGGTTCACACTGTAGGTGCAAGCCATTCATGATAGAGACCCCAGGGAGTACGAAGTCCAGACGAAGGCGTTTGTGGGAGAGGACGGTGTGTTGAAAGGCATCGAGACTGTACGGGTATCGTTCGATCTGGTCGCGAGAAGCACTAAACCTGTTGAAGGTGAGCTTTTGCTCTTTTGATTGGATTCAATCGAGTATTGCTTATGAGTAGTATCTATTTTTCTCTGCGAAGTGATGCAGAGTAATGGTATACTCGCTGATATCATTTCGAAATGACCCAATTTCTATTAGGATGAGCATATTTCCAATGAGGTTTTCATCAGCTTTAGGCTGTGGTTTTTCATCCTTTTCCGGCAGCAGGCAAACGTGGGATGATCTGACGCCGTCATTTCGTATGTAAATTTTTGCTTGTGCGGTATGGAATGCTATTGACTAGAAATGCTATTCTCGGAATAGTGTAGAGTGTATTGGGATTTATATTTTGCTAATTAATGACTTATATTGATTTCCATTAGAATAAACTTTTTTCATGAAGGTTTTCATCAGCATTGGAATGTTGTTTTCGGTAGAATTAGGTGCTGTAGTTGTTTTCTATGTACACTTTCGCTCATATCTCTTGCAGGCTTCTCGTGACTGTGATTTGTGACAGTACGTGTGAATTTGATATGCAAATGTGTGTTATTTTCCGAGATTATGATAATCGATTTGAAATTATATCGCATATACAATGTAACGATGGCTATGAACATGTGTTGTGATGATGAGA